ACATATTTTTGCACTAAAGGTTCCATAAAAATACGTTCAATGAGCATAATGTTACGATTAGAAAAAAATAACAGACTTGCTATTGAAAGCGATATTGCCCGAGCTGTAAACTTTTAAAAATCTGTAGAAACCATCGACTGCAATTTTTTAAAATTAGTATTTATTAAGGAATTTTCTAGAATACAGTGTGAAGGAGTTTGTTTTTGTTTAAGTAGAGGTTTTACGGCGCTCGCAACAGCATAAGGTCATATGAGCGCCAAAAGGTGGATGTCAACAGAGAAGCCCTTACAGGGAATCAGGTTTAATCTGCTCACATCTCTAGCTTCAACAGCACAAAGTAAGCTTCGACTATCAAGGTACCCCGGAAATAGCGGGTCACAAGAGTGTGACAAACATACAAACGTAGTAGTGGAAAATGACGTTCCCTGTTGCAGTTCAGGCACAGTTATGAGAATGACATTGTTGAATCAGTCCATTAATTACAATTCTACTGCATAAGAACAAGTTAATGTCCCACCTTTGGGAATAGCCTAAAGACACTTCAGTCAGGGGCACCGCCCCGGGGGGTATCAAGACAAATTTGCAGTCTAAATACCGTACAAAAGACAAAACAATCTGTAAAAACCATCGACTGGGATTTTTTATTAGTATTTATGAAGGAATTTGCTAGAATACAGTGAAGGAGTTTTTAAAAATATTCACCAGTTAGAACAAATTGATATGTCATTCTGCAAAGGTTGGAGAATCTATTTAGGTTTTGTAAGAGTTTTACGGCACTTGTAACACAATAAGATGTGCCGAAGATTATAGGAGTTACTAGAGAGAAACAAACACAAAAAGAAAGAGGAGAGACCAGGACGATAGATGTTTGGTAGAAATGAAAGAGCAAACCACACCAGAGCACTTATCAGCCACCGAGAGAGATTTTATGTTCGATAGGGAGATATTTGACAATAAGTTGCGCAATGCTTTTTTGACCGCACTATAGTGTTCTGTTTACACAACTTAAAACCCTCTCAACCAGTGTGATCTGTTAGTAAAGTACTGATTTTTTAAAATCGTGTTCTGTGTCGACACTATTTTACCTCCACAAGACAAGTAAAAAAACATATCGTATGGGTTTAATTAACACCTCTATCAAAATATTAGGTTATTTAAAAAGGCGACAACGGGATTCGCTCCGTGGAATTCAAACAGGTTCGTGGCGGCACAGAACACGATTTTTTTTAAAAATTAGTACTTTTACTAAGAGATCACACTGGTTGAGAGGGTTTTAAGTTGTATAAACAGAAAACTATAGTGCGGTCAAAAAAGCATTGCGCTACTTATGATCAAATATCGGGGCGAAATCGTATGTGACTTGACGTGAAATACGAAGTGAAAATAATGGGAGAACACACATTTTGAAGGTATTAGACAAGTGTTTCTTAATTGTTTGCTTTAACAATAATATCTGTAAGGCAACTTTACCACTTGAAGCTTTATTAATTTCCGCTATTACAAGTAGTGTAGGGGAAGTTGGAATTAAGTTGGAATACAGGAGTGTGCCTCTGTATAGTTATATACTTAATTAAAGTTAGCCAATTACCCTAGGGAGCAGTCATGGAAAGGTGATAAAGCCTATTAAATGTTAATCGATTCCCGATTGACGAGGGTACTGGGGAATGCTTTGTGTGTGTGTGTGTGTGTATGAGTGTGTGTGTGTGTGTGTGTGTGTGTGTGTGTGTGGAGGGGAGGGGAGAAAGAGAGAGAGAGAGGAAGAGAGTGAAAAAAAGAGAGAGA